GAAGAGGGGCGCAAAGAGGCCGGCCAAGAGTAGTCGGCCTGCGGGGCCCGCCTTCAAGCGGCGTCCGTGGGCGGCGGGGGATATGTCAGCAGGAACACGCAGCCGGCGCGGTAGGGGGAGAGAGCACGCAACGAGCGCTTTGCCTGGACGGCCACTTGGGCGCGTTGCGGGCCGTCTTCTTCCCCCACGCCGGCGCCCTCGGGTGCGTGAGAAGGAGAAACGGGGGGCGCCGATGGAGCTGACGCCCGGAAGGGAGAGGGCGGCCGTGCGCGGCACCTCCCCCGCGCGGCGCCGCAGACCGGGCCTCCAAAGAGAAGGCAGGACGGCTCATTTTTTCCCCTCTCGGGCGGTTCCTCGGGGCCGCAGAAACGCCCTTCCGCACCTTTCCCTGCAGCCCCCACCGAAAGGGGAAGTGTGCACGCCGCGGGATGGCCTTGGCCTCGCCCTCCCCATTTCTTTCTCTCCCGGCGCTTTTTTCCTGGAGCTTGTGTTTTTCCAAGCTGCTTGGGTTGGTGGGCGTGCCTCAGTTCACGCCGCACCCCGTACGCGTGGGGTTTGCTGAGTCGCGCTGCTGCTGTTGCGCCGTGCACGCCTTTTTTTTTTGTTTTGTTTCTTGTTTGTTTTATTTGTTTGCTTGCGTACTTCTGCATCCCCCGCGCCTTCTCCTCTTTTGTGCCGCCTGTGCGCCGCTGCAGGAGTAGCAATAGGGCTTTGGTTTCCGCCCACTTCCACAGACACGCAGATATACATATTTCACACGCCAAGGAGCCACAGGCATCTACGAAGGCAATGTTCGCTCGACGCCCCCTCGCGACGGTGCTCACCGCCGCCTCGACGCAGCCGCTCCTGCAGCAGCGCCGCCACGACCACGACCGCTGGTACGGCCACGCCCTTGAGCTTGACAGCCACAACTACAAGTTCACTGGCGAGCCCCCAAGCTGGATGCGGCCGCGCGAGCGCACCGAGGAGGAGACGGAGTTCGCCAAGTCTGTCTTGCCGCACGTGGACTTTGCGAGCAGCTACGAGTGCCTGTTGTTTGACGCGGACCGTCTGAACGGCCACCTGAACCGCAAGGAGTTTGGCAATGAGGTGCGCTTCCGGCTGGAGAAGCAGTCGAACACCGTGGCGCGTGCGCAGCAGCTGCTGAAGGAGCGAAAGGAGAGCCGCGACGAGCGGGTGGAGAACACGATGCTGGCCCGCATCTTTGACGAGGAGCACGTGCAGGCGGAGATGAAGTACGTCAAGTGCATCCGCGCCAACGAGCTGGCGGAGGACAACCGTCTCGACATTCTCCCCGGCGGCTCCCCCAACTCCCTGCGGGAGAAGACGCGCTGGAACGTCAACACCGAGCTGCACCCCGCGGACCGCGCGGAAATCGCCGCCCGCCTCACCGCCTGGTTGCCGGAGAAGTACCACATCGTGTACTTCGACGACTTCCAGACGGTGGCCGCGAACGACCCGGCGGCGCGGCGCGAGATGCTGAGCATCGTGCAGAACGTGGAGCAGGAGTACGCGCCCGAGGCCAAGTCCTCCGGCTACGAGAACGACCTGAAGGAGGTGGTGCTGGAGCTCATGGACGACGTGGACCCGTCGCGCCACATCACCCCCGCGGCGATCAAAGAGTGCGCGGACCTCAACCAGCTGGAGGAGTGGTCGCGGGTGGTGCACGAGTACAACGGCGACGAGCGCATGCTCGCCATCTACGCCCGCGCCGCCGAGCTGACGAAGAACGCCGACCATCAGGCCCTCGTGCGGAACATGCAGGAGTGGCGGAAGCTGGCGAACAAGGCGTAGGCGGGCGGGGGCGCAGGGCACCCCCGGCGTGCAGGGGAGCGTGGGAAAAGAAACGGGCGCCGCCGGGCCCGCAGGCAGGAAGTGTGACGACGTTGCGTGCGCGTGTGCGCCTCTCACTCGCTCCGTGGATGTATGTAGAAACGGCGGCTGCCTCTGGCCTTGCCGTCGAGTGTGGATGAGGCGCCACCGCCGCCTACGCCTACGCCACCGTTCCGCCTGGTGCTCGGGCGCCGGTGGGGGGGTCGCCAGAGGCGAAGAAGCCGAAAATTAGAAAAACAAAAACAAAAACAAAAACAAAAACAAAAAACAAACAAGAAAAGAAATAACAATGGGTGGATACGGGGAATAGGAGGGTAGCAGCAGAGATAGCGCGAGGGAGTGTAGTAGTGGATACTGTAAACAAATTCAGGGAAGGTCAGCACGCGGCGAGAGAAGAAGTGAGTGAGGGGGGAGAAATCGCAAAAGAAAAAGAGAAGAGAGAAAAGTACGGCATGCGGAAAAAAGGGCACGAGGTGACATTACTGTGGTGGTTTAGGCAAGGTAACCGAGAAACACGTGAAACCCGAAGGTGGGAAGAAGTCCAGGAAAGGAAATGAATCAACAAAGGGAAAGAAGAAAAAAGAAAAAAAAAGACAATCCGTGTGCATTGAACAAAAAAGAGAAATAAAAGGAAAAAACAAACGCGAGATAAATTTACCGGACGGCAGTAGGTGGTGTTTGCCTGAAGCGGAAATGGGGATATTGCGGAAGTGTGGTTTCTTTCTTCAAGTTTGATACTTTTTGCTTCGACCGCACCGACAGTAGTAGAAGCGCGGGTGCAGGGATGCATGACGCCTGCGTAAGCCAAGGCTCTCACTGTGGCTGGTGGGTTTCGCTCCCTCTCTGGGTAGAGATGCAGCCTTTTCTCATTTGCCGTTTGGCCCTTCTACTATTTTATTTACGTTTTTTTTTTTTGAAAGCGGCTCGGAGGAATGGTCGACCCGATAGGGCTCGGGAGATGAAGGCGCGGTAGCTGGCTAACTGCGCTGCCGCCTGAAAGTGGGTTTTGTTTGATTTCAACTATTACCGCGTTGGCGGGCGGCGGGCGCAGCGCCTCCCTTTTTGTTTTTCTTGTTTTGTGTGTGCCGCGCCGTCATCCCGGCCCAACCTCCTTCCCGGCCCTCCACGCAGGGGAGCAGGGGCCTGCAGGAGTGCCACTTTGTGAGTTCACGACGAGAGCCCCGGTTGCCATGGCCGCACTTACTTTGAATCCATTTCTTCCTTTCCCTCACTCCCTCTTTCTCTCTCTCTGTGTGTGTGGGGGAACCCGACTCTTCAGTGGGGGGACGCTGGGCAGGCACCGCACCAAGCCGACGCCGCCGCTTTGTTGTGTGCCCCCCTCCCCCTGTGTAGGAATAGGAGGGGAGAAGACGGCAGCCGGACGCGGCTTCTGTTGCTGGTGTTGTTCTTGACTTTGGGGTGGGGCTGCGTCCTTGCCGCTCTCGCGGCGCCCGCTTCCCCGCGTGCCCCTCCGCCTGCTGCTCTTTCTGCTCTCCCAGCCTTTGCTGACCCTTCCCCTGCCCCCCTCTCCGCGTGGCGCCTTGGTGTCAGGTAGAAGTCCGCGTGCGTGTGCGTGTGTGCTGCTGCGGTTTGTAGCTCTCGAAGTCTATGTCGGACGTATTCTACCTCAACGTTCCACGGATACGTGTGTCGCGTGGGGCCTCCGGCGAGCTGCCTAAGTCCGCTGCGTTGGGGCTTCAGGACACTCTACCGCAGGTGGCGCGGCCTGCGGCTCAGGACTGCGGCTGGGGGGTTCTGCCGTGGGCGCTGGGGGCCGTGTCGGTGGGCTGCGCCCTCTCGGTTGCAG